TCTGGGCCAGACGCCCGTGAGTGGCACGACACGCTCCTCACTACTCTCGTGACACTCCGGTTCCTCCCGTCCTCTGTGGACCTTGTTCATACTGGTCAGACTCCGTTCTACATACATTTGTACATAGACAACCTTATCTTTGCTGCTCCAGCATGAGTCGCACTGGCCTTAGTGGCCTGAGCTACTCAAGCAACACGTCTGTACAGACCTAGGCAGCACGACACGTTTAAAAAAATTTCGGCATGTACGGACAAAATGGAGCGGAGTCGTGTGACCCTGGGGTCAGCTCAAGCGTGTTTACTGGATCGGGTCAGGACAGGTCATTTTCCATCGCCATCGTCGTCAACCTCTCGCCAACACCCTCTACCGCCTCCATTGTCAATTCGCCTACCTTCGTTCGCTATACAAATCACGACCCCGCCATCCGCCTGGGACAGTATCGAATCAACAAGATTTGGCAGCAGTATTGTTGGAGCTGTGTTGGAGCCAGCTCGCAAGCAGTGGATTGATTCGTGAAGATTTTTTCAGTTCGTTTGGGAGTTATTTCTGGAGCAGTGTTGCTGATTTTCAAGACTTCAGAAGCGGTTTGCCCTGCAGAAGAACTCAACTTTGGAGCATATTTTTGAGTTCTATCAGTTGGAGTTTCACCGACGTCTTCGAAGCTAATTTTTACCGACGTTTTATGTCGCGTTGGGGTATTTTACGAGTACCCTGGAGCAGTGGGTTACCTGAAAGTTTATCTGGTCTCCTGGGAGCTTTCTTGACGAAGTGGAGGGGGGAGGGGGGGGGGGGGGGGGGGGGGGGAGTGCAGCTGCGCTGCATTCGTCCCTTCTGCATTTTTCGGATTAACCTGCCCAATTCGGTCAACCGAATAATCGACCAACCTTCAACGGCCAAGATCGATTGCGATCGTTTTGACAACTTTCAGCCATTCGATCACAATTCAAGATTAATGGCCCCAATTACTCTCGACATCTCAAGTCAAGCGTCATGATGACAAGCGTGCCAGCATGCCATGTTCTACAGTCCCTGCCATCCAGCATTATATTCCGCCAAATAAAGTAATCAATATCCATTCGATCTAGAGATATCCATCAGATCGACCTCGACAGTTTCGCCACCGACTATGCTGACTCGTAATAATTGCCCAACGGTCAAGATAGATCTCGACCAATTTCAGCCATCGGATTGGGCTCGCCCAAGAATCATCAGGACGGCGTAATCGTTATGCTCGTTAGAAGATTTCATGACCTAGAGTCACACTCACGATTGGATTATTAATCCGTCGGAGTATCGCCCCTAGTATAGGGAGGGTTTAGTTAGAAGGTGGGGGAGTGTAAGGAATTTCGATTCCTTACTGCGATAAATTACAGCGCGTACACCCGAAGACCTCAACCTCGCAGGTTCGGCCTCGATTGTCGGCCCAAACCTCCCCGAGTCGCGTTCCGACACCCTCACCACCCTTCCAAGCCACATCACATCCCAAGGTTCTTGCCCTAGCATGTACGAGCCCTACTTTAGTCAGTTCGCTCGTCACTAGCTAATCAATTATTATTCCTATGTTGTATTTCCATTAATCAGTCGATCGTTCCATTCCCACTCATAACAGGCTATTTCAAACCTGAACTTCCTGGTGGTGCCGGAGCCAACTGCACGTGCATCGGCAGCGGCAGCTTCGATGGCGGCGGCGGCGACTACGAAGCTCGCAGCACCCGGTGGCGTGGCACGGCCCAGCGATGATCTGGAAGGGAATCATCAGCTGCGGCTAGAATGAGGGTTGGTGCAAGGGAGGGGGCGTGGCTTCAGCGAGGCGCCCTGGCTGGCGTGCTGGCTGTCGTGCGGACGTGCTGGCTAGCGCCTAAAGCAGTGTGCGGTCTGCTACCGCCCGTGCGCCGACATGTCAACGATGCCACGGAAGCACGACGATGCCACCACGGCGTGGCGTCGATGCCATGGCAGCATGTTGACGCTGCCACAGCAGCACGGCGATGACGCCAAAACGTGTCGATCGGCAGGTTGTGGGTGTCGAACGACGCCATGAATTTGATGAACCCGACGTATGACGTCACAGGCGCCTCCGACTGGCAGGTGTACACCGCTGTCTTCATAGCAGTGATTAGATGGAGAGTCGACTGGTCAAGCCCCTCGTACGCGTCCAGCAACGCCTGCGGCAGCTTCTTAGAGTCCCTAGCTTTCATGAGTCTGACAGCCTCGCGGTGAGCATTCGAGCGTTGGTGTATGCGGATGCTGCTCTTCTGCATGTCGACTCCGCCAGTGCCCCCCTTTCCGTACTTTGTATCTGCACCCAAGATCCCATGCTCCATGCATGTACTGCACCGCAAGAGAGGGAAACCTTCGTTAGACTTATCTAGCACAAGCCACGGAAAAGAAGCCTCCCACGATCCCTTGAACCGACGATGTGCAACAGAAAAGGCAGTGAGAGGATCGTGACCAGATTCAGCCTCGGGGGGACCGTTGTCTTCCTCGTCATCGAATTTCT